GTTTTCGAATAAAATTCGCAAACTCGAATAATCAAAAAACGAGGTTTCGAATAAAATTCGAAAACTCGAATAATCAAAAAACGGGGTTTCGAATAGATTTTATTCGAATGTTTTATTCGAATGTTTATTCGAATTCGTATTCGAATGTACTCCGTATTCAGATTACTCGACTTTGTTGCAGAGCCAACTGCTGAGTATCAAGCTTACTTCGTACGCGTTTTTTTTTCGCAAAACTCGGTAATGCATCTTTTGCGACCGGTATACCTTTGAACTGTATGGAGAGTCGCATTTCTCCGACTGCTTGCGACAGTAAAAAAATCATATGTGGATTTTAATTGATGTTTTTTCGAACAGTGAGATTGTTCGCACTGCTACTGGCACCAAATCAGCAAAGAAGATATCAAATTCAAGCTCATGTTCTGAGTTCATACTGAATTGAAATTGCTGTTCTTCTTTCTTTGCATTGCTCATGCTTGCGGTACGCAAAGCCCACACTAGTGAGCACTCTTGCTCGCATAAATTATTGCAAAACTGCCTATTCGTTACCTTGGAGTTTTTCGCGAATTGGTATATATTGAGTAAAGGACATCGCAGTTTTAGTGCAGGATTAGACGGTTTATATCGCCGTACGCGATTTGCCAGTTACAGATGTCTTCGGATGTAACGGCAGCTTACCACAAATGTTTAGCGTACAACATACTAAAAAGATAAATGCCCTGCATTCTGTACTTTCAGTACAGGAGTTGGTACAAGGGGGTAAGTGAGGGTGCTGATATGAATAAAAATTTACTTTATCGATTTTATCGATTTTTGGAAAATCTTGAGCTACGAGGTTGGGAGTTGGTACAAGGGGGTAAGTGAGGGTGCTGATCATGAACAAAAATTTACTCTATCGATTTTATCGATTTTTGAAAAATCTTGAGCTACGAGGTTGGGAGTTGATACAAAGGGGTAAGTGAGGGTGCTGATCAAAACCGAAATCTATTTTATTGATTTGAGCAGTTTTTGGAAAATTTTGAGCTAGGAGTTGGTATAGGGGATACTAGGGGGCTGATTATGATTGGATCGGCTTTAGCCAGATATGCCGGCAAGTTTGAGATGTGATTGCTTTAGTTATTCGATAAATCATTCGAACATTTATTCGAAATTCGACTTCCAATGTTCGAATATATTCGATATTCATTCATTCGATATTTTTGATTTTCCGAATTTATTCAAAATTCATTCATTCGATATTTTTGATTTTCCAAATTTATTCGAAATTCATTTACTCGATATTTTTGATTTTCCGAATTTATTCGATATTCGTTTATTCGAGATTTTTCCTTTTCGAATTTATTCGCTATTCATTCATTTGATGAAAAATTATCGAATTACACAAGTATACTGTCGACTCAATAAATGGCTTGGGATTTCTGGTCACAAGTAATCTTTCCTTTGACAAACATTATAAGATAATTGCGGATAAGGCAACGGTGACTAACTATAATCTTCACAGAGGACTATCTCGTAACGATTCTAAAGTCTTATTAAGGGCATATAAGACCTACATAAGACCTATATTGGAATACTGCTCAGACAATCGCTGGGGGCAAGCGGGCACCGGAAAAATAGATTGCTGATTTCTCGCACCCCGCTCGCGGATTTTTTGCAAAGCAATCAGGCTTTTCGGAAGACCGCTTGTTGAGTCAGCGGATTTTTGAGAGACCGCCTGTTGAAGTTTTTTTTCGCTCTTATCTTTTGCAGATATATTGCTGAATCTCTGAGGAATCGAGAATTCAGCAAGTGGTCTTCCGAAAAGTCCTGATTGCTTTCCAAAAAATCCGCGAGCGGGGTGCGAGAAATCAGCAATCTATTTTTCCGGTGCCCGCCTGCCCCCGGCGATTGTCTGAGTGTACGATGATCTATAGTCTGTACACGCGAAAAGCAATTGGTTATTTAAAAAAGGTTCAAAATAGTTTCATTAAAAGACTGTTGATCAGGACGGTCGGATTTAGATACGGTCAGACCAAGCAGTCGGGTTCGCAATGCAAATCTAGGCATTCCTAATCTTTCTTACAGAAGGAGAAAATTTGATATGATCATGGTGCACAAAATACTATTTGGAGAACGTAAGCTTGACGCAAGAAATTTATTTGCTACTAGCTCCAATACTAAAAGAGGAGTTAGGAAGCTTATACTACCAAGATTAAGGCTAAACATGGGGGAATATTTCTTTACGTCCCGAGTGGCCAATGATGTGGATATAATTTTGAGAAGAAAGATGTCCGTAGCTAAGCTATCACTGTTCGAAAAGGTTCTAAGAAGCTATTCAATCTTCCTACTAAGACTTCTACTTCTATGTTTATTGTGTTTAGTTTAATGAGGTCGCTCTATCTCAGATAATCGCCGGGGCAGGCGGCCATGCGATTTATGGGCGAGCGGGCACCGGAAAATAGTTCGCTGATTTCTTGCAATCTGCTTTCAGATATTTGGAAGAACTTTTGCGAAATTTTAGGCAATTGCTTGGAGAACAATCGCGGTTTCCTTATAGATTAGCTGCGGCGCAGTGGCGGCATTCTCGCGGACTTTCCGCGAGAATATGCAAAATTTTCGAGGGCCGCACGGTCCTTTGTGAAGGACAGCGCAGCCCCCAGGTACTTTCCGCTGAGAGAAATTACCTCAAACTTGAGTAATTAAACCAAGGGTGACACCTCTGCCACACAGAGTCTTACCTGTGCTCGGCGTATGTCCGAAATTGCTTAAAGGCAGTGTCCGGGCAAAAACTCGATTTTGAGATTTTGTGCTTACTTGGGCCTATTCGCTACGCTGAATCCGAAAATGCACATTGTAGAGCGCGAAAATGGCGAAAAACGGCTCTAACACAGAAGGGAAATCAGCAGGTGGGCGGGGTCCTCCCCACTGCGAATTCACGTTCCCGGCTTCCGGAGCGACCTTCTCGCTTCCGGTTTCAAGTCAATCATTCGCACTTGACCGGTAGCGATGTTAGGACGGCTAGCGGAATCGAGAAGATCGCTCCGGGAGCTATGAGCGTGAAATCGCACCGGGGAAAGCCCCGCCCACCTGCTGATTTCCCTCCTGTGTTAGAGCCCTTTTTCGCCGTTTTCGCGCTTTCCATTGTGGATTTTCGGATTCACCATCGAATAGGCCCGTATAAGCACAAAATCTCAAAAACGAGTTTTTGCCCGGACACTGCCTTTAAAGCCTAAGGCATACCTCTCGCGATTTCGCGAAATCGCCACATCCTCGCGACTTGGCGATTTGCCAGATCTCTAGAGATTAACACGTTTCCAACCGCGAAATCGCGCGCGGCGAAAAACAGTGTACTTTCGGCCGTTAGCCTACAAAGGGACCTTATTTCGCAGCCTGTGGGCCACATTTGTAACCAGCATGTCAGATAACAGCATGTCAGATAAGCTCCATACCCAAAGTTCTGAGTGAATTCGAAGTGTTTGAATTTTGTCACTTGAGAGGGACTTCTGTGCTCTCTTGAAAGATAGAAGAAAGAACTCAGTTTCGAATAGTATTCAAAAGTATCTATGATGTACACTGTACACATCGTTATTGAAACCACGGTTTTTCCCTTTGAAATCGAAGCAAGGAAAAGTTGCGACGTCGCACGCGTCGTTCGCGTTGCCGCACTTCGTTGCAACTCTTGTTTGTTTTGTCCTTATATCTCCTAAACAAATATGCGCGGCACAGCTCTACAGAGTCATTTGAAAAGTAGGAGCCCTTTCACTTAGCAACTTTGGACTAAAAGAAAACCTTTTGTAAACACCAGAAAGATCCTTCAAAGCAGCGTGCTGCACCATGTGCAGCACCGGTCCGAAACGTGTTAAGCATGAGAGGCTTTTAGATGCATAAGTGCGTAGATCCCGTAAATTGTAACAAACACAGCAAGTCTGGCCCAGGCAAAGTGCGTTTACGACCAGCTATGGAGAGTCCTTGCAGTGCCAAATCGCGCGGCGACTAAAATCGTGTGAGGTATGCCTTAGGCCTAAAAAGAGTCCGAGCGCTCACTGAAAGTTTGGCCAACGCTCGCTGAAAGAAATTATTTGCCGAGCGCTTGCAGAAAATGCTGTATTGCTGCCCGCTGGCAGAATATGCGACTGTAAAGGAAGTGCCGCCAGCTGAAGGTTTGGCCACGCCCCAAAATTCTGCTGACCGCCTCAGAAAAGCGCGAGTATGCGGACCGCCTGCCCCCGGCGATTATCTGAGATTGTGTTCAGTTAGTTCGACATTCTTGTTGTTTTGTGTTACCATAGGGGCTCCCTATGCAACAAATACATAAATAAATAAATAAATATTGCAAATTCATACCATCTGCTTTCGCGGGAGTCTATTTGGCGACATATCCCCTTCCCAATTATTCTAGCTCGAAATTTCTTAGATCAGCCTCCGCTACCTGGGGGCGAACCAAATAGACTTGACGACTGGCTGATTCCCTTTGAGGGGGGGGGGGATCCATGGCGTGCAAAATCATAACAATATTAGCTGTCAGAACCCCATCACAAAATTTTCAATATTTCTTGTAAATTTTCTGATGGCATATTCATCATGACGATAATGTGTTGAACGTTCTCGGTTCTATAAAAACCTAGAGCAACCGGTACTTCAACTGTAAACTTGAAATGGAATGAGTCTTCCAATAAAGTGTCTAAAACTGACAATCAAAATGTCAATTTTAGGCAATTAACGGTCTCTGCAATTCTGCGACTGTCTGATTACATAGGAGGAGCACGGCGTCGAAAAAATTGATATTTTAATTTGAGTAAAGCCCTATATTTTTGCAAATTCTACTTCCTACCTAAAAGCTACACATTATTGCATGCTGGACTAATTTGCTGTAGATGGCAAACCGCATGTGTATGCTTGTTCCCAATAAGACAGAAGAACATCGTCGGCATCCAAGCACTCCTCGATGAATTGGCTTGTCACAGAAATTTTCTCAAATAAAAATCTCGGCAATGAGATTCCTCACTCCAAAAGAATAGTAATTTAGTCGGCGTGCCCTTCTAGAGCAAAAACAATCGGAGGGCGTAAGATATGGCACAAACGTCTAGTAGAACGCCGTTCTAAAGCGAGTTTGACGCAACGGTATAAATGTCGTCTTCAAGGTAACCAAAACCACACATGCACGCTCTTGGCTTCTTGCTTACGCTTTCGACATATTGTTTGTGGTAAGTAAAGCTATGCTTCATAGTCTGACTCCTAATTTGTTCAAAATTTTTTCAGTGTCTCGGGTAATCTCTGGCGCTGCCCACGGTGTGTTGGTGGAGGAGGAGGAGGAGGAGGAGGAGGAGGGGGAGGTACGGAAAGTTTCAATTCGTTTGAAACAGTAGAGGAGGATTTTTGAAGAAGATCTGCATGTTTGCAATGAATGCTACATAGTCTACTTATTTGCAAAATCACATTTTTTGAATCTGTTTTCCTTGAGCGCTTCCCTTTGGTTCCAAAATTGTTAGCCACTGGCTCTATTAGGAACTATTAAAGCTTTAAGTTCCGCTCCACTTTCAGAATGTCTGATGATTCTACAGCTTTTCTACTTCCAACTTTTTTTATATTCCTCTCCTCACTCATTGAGGATGGCAGCATACGATCAGAGTTCAACAATTGCAAAGAATATTTCTATTTAATTTCTGAAAGAAATATGAATACGAAAGTGTAAAAGTTTTTTTTCCAAACCAATTTTTAGTAATTATCAGACTAATATGTGTAAGCACAGCAATTTTTGGTATTTATCAAATAAAAATGTGTGAGCACCGACAAAATTGTGTTCTTCTGCAAAGTTGGACGGAACAACTGCCAAGACGGATTAGGTTGATGTATAACTTTTACACCAATTTCCAAATATCATCAGTTTCTCCATTCAAAATCCTCTGCTATGATACTTTATAGAGAGAAAGTCTTGGGTTTTCCGGAAATAATTAAATCAAATTTCTTTGTTGGCATATGGCAACGATACAAGCTGATGAAGAAAAATACCAAAAAAGGTTTTTCAAATTTTAGTCGATTGCTAAGTCGTTTACTGAATTTTATTTTTGTTCTTGGTTCTATAACCTATACTTTTTGATTAGATGAATTTGGTAGTGATTGGATTCTATGAATAGTTATAAATTTCGATAATTTCCAAATCTGACTTACTGGTTTTGTCCCAAACTGATATTTTAAACTGTTAATTATCTTAGATTGAATAACAAAAAGCATGTTGCGTAAATTGAATAATTTGTTTAAGCATCTTCAAAACGAATTTTTTTCTATTTTTTGGCGCAAGAGTTGTGCATCAACCTAATAGAATTTACCGGCAATCGAAAAAAAATTTGAACCACAAAAGGATGTCATTGTAAAATTTTGTTTGCATTACCTCCCCACTTTTTGGCGTGATTGTTGTCATTGAACTAAGGCAACAATAACTAGATTCATTGACTAGTACCGCTGCTTTGACGAATCGGAGCAAAGAAATGCAAAGGTCTTTTGTCAAAAGAAACAGCGAATCAGGATCAGACACAATCGAGATGCAAAAAATTACCTCTCAACAGAAGTGCAAAAATGATTAATCTAGAGTCTGAACAGGTAACGGGAATGCCGTGTACTATTAACCTGTCACAGTTTTTTTATGAGAACAATGCTGTGACAAACTTCTGGGCCGTCAAATTCATAAAACATTTCTGATTTACGAAATACTCACTGAAACTGCTATTTGTACTTTTCCTACTATCATGAGAAATGTTGAAAGAGCCTCTCTATAAATTAAATTAGGTATTTAAACGCTTTTCTCGCGTAGGTCTCACTTTTGCAAGCGAAATTACTTTGACACACGCAACGGTTCTACCGCTGCCACGAGCGAAACCTTTTTTTGTATCATGTTCTTCTGTTTATGTAGAGACGGAAATGAGCTAAACAATGAGCATTCAAACTTCTTTGAAAGTGACATGTGATGCGAGGGGCCTTAAATCTTTTAACGCACATAGCATGCAAGATAAACGGCAATGATTTGATTTAATTGTAATTTTTTGCACGACAAAACCCAGACTTTTTCGAGTGCGCTAAAAATACGCCTACCTCAAGTATGCGGTTCTGAGCGACTGGACCTTTATGCCGGAGGGGGGGAGAGGGATGGGGGAGGACGGTAGAAGAAAAAGCCGTTCACTAAATGGCATTTTGTGTGTTCTTTGTAAAGTCTTCTCGAAAAGTCGCAAATCAGTGGAAATTTGGGTTTATGATCACGTTGGGATAAAGGATGAAGGGTTCGACGTCTTCAATACCCTCTGCGGGATGCGCCGAACGCACGCTACTTCTTCATACTCGAAAAGGCTAATGAAAGGCAATTACAATGACTTGTGGGGGGAGGGGGGGGGCAGCCGATCACCGAGTCAATGCCTGTCTTCCCAGGTTACTCTGGTACCAATTTAACGGTCCCAAAGGGTAGAGGGCTTGGTTGATCCAAGGTCGTGATCAAACCGACCTGGTCCTAGCGGGCGCCGCATATCATTACGCCACTCGTCCCCATGGTCACAGTGCACCGGATAAAAATAGCAATTTTCAAATTTCTTCGTTTTGAATTAAACAGCTAAGAAACACTATTTAACAGGTGGCTATGCTGTTCCACCCGCAGGCTATCAACCTCAACCTCAACCATCATATGGAGCCCTACCTCAGCCGCCTCAGCAAACCTATGTACCACCACCGCAGCCACCAATGCAGCCGTCATATACACCTCCTCAACCATCTGGAGGTTGTGGACCCAAGGTCGTCGGTTACAAAGTAGTTCAACTTCCGGCTGTGAATGTTTACACCGTGCCTGGACCAGTGATCCGGCTCCCAGCTCCGGGAGGTTGCCGCAGACCCAGTTTTCCTCCACCGCGACCACCGCCGATACAGGTGCCTCCATCTTACATGCCGCCACCTCGACCTCAGCCTCCACTACAGTTACCTCCTTGCGGACCTGAATGTGCTTGTGGTCCCGAAAATTGTGGTACAGCAGCGGTCTCAGGAGGTGGAGGCGGCGGAGGCGGTTATGGCGGAGCACCGCCTCAGGCAACAGAGCCTGTAGAAGCACCACCTCCTCCTCCTCCAGAACCTTCTTCGTCGACGGAAGCTCCAACGATTCAAGAAGGAGAAGTCTCCGAAAGCTCTTCTGTGGGCGCGGAAAAAGGTGAAGGTGAAAGCACTTCTACAAATGGAGGAGAAGAAACATCGACCAATGGAGGGGAAGGCCTTTCTGGCGGTGAGGGGAATGAGATGGGTTCCGAAACGTCTTCAGCTACACAAGGTACGGAAGAGGGAGCAGGTCCATCTGAAGGCAGTGATACGATGTCATCAGGAGCCAGTGCAGCGGTGTCATCTTTCGGTGAAGGTCAGTTGATGTATCTGATAAAAGAGTAGCGTGCACCAGCATAGCTTACAGATAACTCGATCGCAACAGAATCAAGCGGATACCAAGGTAGACGCACAAAGAAATGTGAGTTATTACTTTTCTTATTTTTAGCTTATTGTTGTGCGGGGATACACACTAATTAAGATCGCAAGAAACTCGTCAAAGCGAAAAAAGCGAGGAAACTGAAAAAGACGAGGATTATTGTAAAGAAGAACCGACAGCGTGTACTCTTTAGGAAATCAAGCAGAAGCTAGTAAAAAGTTTTTGTATGTGCGCAGAAATGAAGAGAAGCATGTGTTTCTCTACGTATTGTTAATAAACCAGTGACCATTTTAATAGCAGAGTCAGAACCTCTTGATACCCCTTGTTTGGTGAAGAAAAGACCATTCGCATTTTAGAAAAATTTGGCAAACGCACATTTCCTCATTTTTCAACATCGAATATACCATAGTTTCTAGTCGCTTTGATTTTCGGAATAAAAATGTTCCTAGCTCCGAAGAGACAGAATAATGCGGATTGTGGCAAAGTGCGCGGAGTTGTTGAACAAGTAGTGTACTTCTACACATTGTTTCTGATGCCACCCTCCGTTATCGTGCTTGCATCAGTTTGTTCATACCGGCTTTTTGCTTATTGATTACTTCAATTCTTACATTTATTGCATTCTGAATGTTTTTAATACTTAAGAGACGAAGCAAGTTTGAGCTTGTCAAGCTGGTGCGGATACTCAAACAACCTGAGAAGAGAGTATGATCATAACGAAATTAGACCAATTTTGCAGGATTTGCAGGTCACGTAAGTTTTGAAGCAGATGAAATTCTATTTATCGTCTGTCACCAAGGCGAATTATGTCGTACATCACGCTGCCGTGAAAGATTGGGACGCAAGATTGGGAACCACGGCAGTGGTGCTTATTTTGAATGTTCACCAACATATTACTTTTGGCTATCATTTTAGCCTTTCACATATGTCATACATGTCAATGAGACAGCCACTAATTTACCAAGGTCTCAGCCGGAAACAGATTTTCGTCAATGACAGATATCCAACGACTATTTATTATAATAAGAATAAGAATAGAACGACGCACAAACTCAGCTTTATTACTCTTATCATATGACATGATAGCATGATGATCCTCAAGAGACTGAGACACAAAGTAAGTAAGCTTCCAACTTTGAAATGAAAGATTTTTTTCGGTAGCTCAGAGCGCTTCTGAAAAACTCTTATAGCATATTCGACGAATCCTCCATAGCTGTTCAGAAAGTCCTTAGAAAGTCGGTAGCAAGCATTTATTGAAGACTGATAAATGTGAATAACGAACACCGGTCGTTGGGATTGGATGACTACACCTACGCTGATATAGGGTTATAGGGGCCTGCAGGATCGCGAGAGTCGGACTGCGTACGGCCATTGCGCCGCGCACGTCTGATGTCACTAAGACAGGTGCCAGACTTATCCGCTTCAACTGGTTCGTTCGGTTCATAGGTCAAATCACTACACTGTCCAACAGAAAAAGTGGTGAACCGAATGAACCTGTTGAACAGGATAAGTCTGGCACCTACCTGAGTCGTTGGACGCGCATCTGACGTGCGCGGCGCAATGGCCGTACGCACGTCCGACTCTCGCAATCCTGCAGACCCCTATATAAACCGAAAGACGATTCTGTTGAAGCACAGTTATATTTGCATAACTTTAGGCATTCATCGTACTCCCCGCCTTCAAAAACTTAGTCCTCTTTGTTTTTTTTACAAACTGGCCGACTTCGCTCGGTCCTTGTCAATACGTTTAATATCCTTGCCTCTACAAAACGTTCCCTGTCCCTTCCCCACTTACTGATGCAACTACCTTGCCCCCATATTTTCGCAGTCAGCGTCTCACTTCCCCTGTGCCAACTCTTGCCCCGAGGATCAAAGTTTGCAAAGATCGATGAAATCAGTGAAGGTTATTGATAATTCTGAAAACTATACATTCGTATCTGCATGCCCAATAACACCTGTGCACACTCCCAATCCTGTAGCTCAAACTTCAAAAAGTCATTGAAATTGGTATCGATCGATAGCGAAAAGCCATGAAGTGTATAAGTGTTTCCCAGAGCGGGCAAATAGAATTTTCTAGAACAAGCGTACAAATATAAGCAAGATAAACAAGCAGACAGACAGACAGAAAGGCATTCAGTTCTATGTGCAAGACCTCTTTCAATTCTTCAAAAGCGCTAGCACTAAGACACTCACGTTATCTTGCTTTCAAATCAGCGGATTTCAAAATCATAGCACTTTTGAAAGTTTTCAAACGACCAGAAGTTCTTCCCTCGGTTTATACTTATTTTCCTGATTGTTTCGCAAAAAAGGGATACAAAGTTGTCTTCGCACGCATTCTACAATTCGCCAAGTTGTCCTCGCAGAAATGTTATCGATTGTTCTTTTGAATTTCCACGGTTTATCAAAAGAAGGCTGACATTTACCTATAAAAACTCCTCTAGGCGGAGCTCAACCCTTTGTAGGAGAAACAGTTGTCTTCAGTACAGAGGACGCCTTAGGAGGCATTTCGAGCGCCATATCTATCAATGCGATTCATAGTATTTTTGGCTCAAAAAAGAGGAAAAGCAATGTTTTGATTCAATCTCTTCACTACATGATAGATTTTTGAGCGTTACAGTCGTCTAAATCAAAAGGGTCCAAGCCTTATGTGAACTCTCCATTATCTATGCTCCGAACCAAATTGGTTTGATGATGGCCTAGAAACCAACAAATTCGGGAAATGGTATTAACACACATAAGTTCTTGAAACTTCCTGCATAATGTAGTTTGAAGTAATATTGCATACATATAGCCGAAATTCGCTGTCGTGTGATTGCTTCTGCGCTGTGAACAAGCCATTTGTTTATTTGAGCGTCATTTTCAATTTGGCGAGTCTGATGTGTAAGAACACGTTGAAGCATGTCATTCATTTACCAACTTGCTGATTAGTATATCTGGAGGTCACTTAAATAACGCAGTGCTGCGCGCGCCGCTCACTGCGGTCATTGCGAGTTCGGCGACGGGTGATCGCGGTGTTTTTTGCGGCTGGCGGCCAGCGTCCGTCGTGCCCAAGCTGTGACGCATTTTGAGCGGTCATGACCGCGTCTTCTTTGAGTTGTGACGACTTTGGGGTGGGGGGGGGGATTACTACTGGTCCAGGTTTCACGATATGGTTTGCTTTCACCCTATGAAGTTCAATTTGATCCCACATCTGTGCCGCGCCCAGAGCGCAGACTTCTCATTATATAGCATATAATCGGTTTTGTAGCGGCGCTAAGCGCAAAGTTCACGAAAAAAATTTTGCTGGAAGATAGTTTTGTAATGGACTTGGTTTCCTCATGGTATCGAATACAGGCCAACTTTATTCGAGGATATAGTTATTACTACTATAAAGGAATCCACCTAAACCTATGGTGGTCAATAGAGTATGGTAGTGTCGGTAGTTTTGCTTCTATGTTGTTATACGACCAACGCGATAGCTGCTATAGTCGTTTATACGATACAGGTAGATATATGAGAGCCAAGTGGTAGTGGAGAGCTTGGCGACGAATTAGAGTGAGAATGAGAGACAGAATGAACTATCTCCCAAAAATGGTATGCTTATATACAATCTCAAGTAAACAACCAATTAACATAAATACATTTCTATATACAGCAAATATGTATCGGTCATCGCAATCTGCGACAACTACCAAATTTTATATAATTCGAATTTTTTGCCTGATGCGTTTCACAGTAGTCATCTGAATTAAGTGGCGTCAAAATTTGACTTATTCATTTTCACTTTGAGGTCATTTCAAAGCAGTTTAATGTGTTACCTGCTGCTCAGTTCTCAGCTTGATCGTTGATCTGCCCTTCAAGCAGATAAGATTCACATCTCTCAGAGGGTGTAGCGAGCGTCAAATACGGGAGCTACAGCACCAAAAAATGAAAATAAATAGGATAAAAAAGGAACATGCGAAATGCTCTTTACACGCGGCACACAAATGGTTTTCTCAAAATCAAGAAGGTTCAGTGTGAGATACACAGTGGGGTTATGCGACTCCATGTAAAACTTACACATTCGTCCCCGACACCACAACTCCTTAGTCGAAAACCCGGTTGAAAAATTCCATGCCTACATTGAAGATAGGTCAAAATAGACTAAATAAGTCAAAAATAAATCTTTTCGAATTACAGCCTCAATGTATAATGAGAAGAAGAAGTAAATAAGTGTTTCTTGAAGCGAGCATACTAACCACATGACGTGAGATGAACGTTTTTGAGATAGAACAAAAGTCTTCACAAGGATTCGGTCCTGTCAAAGAGCAGATTCCAAGTCTTGCTCATGATTGCCGATGTGGACTTAGGTCAGCAATCCAAAGTCTTCCTCGCAATTTCTGACTTCCAGACGAAACGCTCTGACTAAAGTGTCATGAAAGTGAGGTCACTGCGACTAAAGCTTTTGTAGTCGCCCTTTTGCGTAACTTATACAGTTTGATTGAAAGACGCCAAATACGGCAGTTAAGTGCCACCGGGCCATCACGGATCCCTGTCACACGCGGCAGTAGTGCGATAGCAGAAAGTAACAATTGCGATGTCTCTTCTGTCATGCTTTAGACATTCAGACAATTCTGGCGAACACCCGCCGACCATCCATGGGCGACGCCATCCCGAGGGCGCGCTGATAAGTACTCGATAAGCGCCCGACAATGCCCTCTCAGATAATCGCCTGAAGCAGGCGAACCACAAACTCGCGTTTTTTGCAGGATATAGTAGAATTTTGAGGCTGGTCAAAAATTTAGCGAGCTGCACTTTCTTTACTGTTGCATGTTCTTTAACGGCAGCAATATGGAATTTTCCGCAAGCGGTCGTCAAATAATTTCTTCCAGCGAGGGCTGGCCAAGTTTTCAGCGAGCGCTCTGATTACGCAGTTTTGGGCGTACGTCGAGCAAAGGTAAGACTCTTTATGTCGTGGGTGTTGTCGATGGTCTAATTACTTAGTTTGGGGTATATTCTCTCAGCGCAAGTTAACACGAGATGTGCGGTCCTTCATAAAGGATCGTGCAGGCCTCACCAATTTTTCGTACTCTCGCGGAAAGTCTATTATAATGCGGCCACTGCACCGAAATTAATTTACGAAAAAGCAGCAATTTTTCTCTGAGCGTTCGTCATGGCCGCCTACCCCCGGCGATTCTCTGAGCGTGGATGACCCGGGACGGTATTTATCAACTTCCTATATAAGAAGGGGTTCTTGTACCTCTAACAGCCCGTACAGGCGCGGGCACTGGCGCCCGCTATATATGAAGCCAAGCTGGTGACCGGGCTCTTGTCTATTGAAGAATATGGTCCAGTCTGGCAACTTTGGCCATGTCGGCCACAGCAGTTGGGCAGCGGAGTCCAACCTGTCGAGAACGAGCTTCGCTGCCCGACTGCCGTGGCCGACATGGCCAAACTTGCCAGATCG